TGGCGAATAACTGGCACATGCCAGCGTTGTGTTTGGCACATCGGTGGCGGCGGCGGCGGCGGCCGGCGCAGTTCGCGGCCGTTGCGGCGCGTGGCGCGTCGCTTCTGCCTCTGACCGCACGTCGCGCCGCGGTCTGCCGCCGGCCGCAAGGCGCGCCGCGTTCGCCCCCAGCCCGCAGAAACGCGCCAGCAAACCGCCGCGGGCCTTCCAAAATACACAACACCTGTTGGCCGGCAGCGGCGGCGGCAATTCGCGTGCGGGGATGCAAGACCATCGTGCAGGCGCCTCCCCGCCGGCCCGACGGTTCCACGGCCGAGCCAGCGGCGCCACGCGACCACAGCCGCAGCTGCCCTGGCGAAATTTCCAGCCGGGAAAGTTGCAGCGCGTCCTATAGCTTTGCAGCTCGGAGAAAATTAAATCTAGGGGCCATCGCTGGCTCCGGCCGTACATCGACGCAGCGGCATGAGGCCAATCTCTCGGCTCCACTAAATCATTTTTATGGGCGGCTCCCTAATAGAACGGCGGCCAAGTTTGCGGCAAGTTCGGGTGAAGCGGCGAACGTTTGAGCAGGAGCCCGGTGTCTCGCCGCCGGCGCCAGCTGGTCCCCAGTTCCCCCCCCCCCCTCCCCTGACACAGCGCACCTCGTGCACAGGACAACCCAACTTGCAAAACGTTCAGCTTTGATGGCAGCAACAGGCGTTGGGCGCCATACCGCCGGAGTGGCGTTGTTGCCAGCGTTTGATTCATTTGGTGGCAGCCGCGGCCGGTTGGTATGAATGGGTGGGTGGCGCGCTCGGCTGGTGCGCCGGATTCGCAGCGTCTGCGCCGCTCGCGCCTCGCAAACTTGGCCGCCGCCCCCGCTGCCCCTCAGCCGCACCTAATTAACGCAAATCTCGGAGCAGAAGAACACGAGACGGCGCCTATTTCTGGCGGCGAGCAGAAAGGAGGGAGCGGCGGTAAACAGGCGGAGCCCCGTCCCCTCAGGTGCGGCCACGCCGCCAAGTGCTCCCCCCCCCCCCCCCCCACCCGCCTGCAGACGGACGGAGCCGGTGATGAGCTATCCGCGCGGACGGATTTACGCGGCGGCGAAGATTGACGCCCGGCGAATCACTGCCGTACGTTTGTTATTTTTCCAAATTTCCGTGTAAATCAGTGGGCGGTGAGGCCAGCTGAACATGGAGCACAGTGCTATTAAATACGCGCGCCGTGGCGTCTTGGCCGCGGTGATGCGCTACTGACGGGGCAATTTTGACGGACCGTCATACATCTGGCAGCGGTGAGAGTGGATTCGGTGGGGATTTATACGTGCTTCGGAAGCGGCATCCTCATCGATTGGCGATGAATAAAGAGCGTCTTGGGACGCCGCCTTTGCGAACCCCGGTGAACTGGAATGGGACCAAGCTGCGGAAATGATTTAAAAACGGAGACGAAATGGTAGCAAGATCATATCTCGCCGAACGAGAGAGACTTTTCGTTATAATCTTTCCGAATGTCACAAAGACAAGATTTATCATGGTTTGATTTTAATTTATTGTTTCACCAATTGCAATTTCCCGACCAAAAAGGTATTGTGTTACTGCAGCCAATGGGACGTGTCGCCGCCTGGCCGCTGTCCTGCTATTGGCTGAGAGCGCAAGGCAACGGCGCCCGAGAAGAAACCCGGCGCATTTGTATTGATCGAGCGGCTGCGCGCCGGCCGCCTCCAGAGCTTAGCTGAGACGACGACGGCCGCCGCCGGCCGATGACGTAGGGTGCGGCTCGGCTCGTGGGGTCACGACCCCGCCCCGGCCGACGGGGCCGAGCCCGCGAGCGGCCGGCTGCCAGCGCGAGGCTCAGCCGAGTGCACGCGGTGGGAGGGAGCCGGGGGACGCGTCGAGTGGGGATGCGCGAGCGGACTGGTGCTGAAGGATGCGTGGAGGGACATGATGCCGGGGATGCGGCAAGGACATCACAGCGAAGCATGCAGGAACGGAGGAGACACCACCCAGGGATGCATGATCGAATGCGGCGTCGAGGAATGCACGCGCGGAAATGACGCCGAGTACGGATCCACTCACAGCACGACACCAGCCAACGGTGCACGTGCGGATACCATACTGACCAGGGATGCACGAGCGGACATGATACCTACCAGGGATGCACAAGCGGACACCATATTGACTAGGGATACACAAGCGAACATGATACCTGCCAGGGATGCACAAGTGGACACCACACTGACCAGGAGTGCACGAACGGACGTGATACCTACCAGGGATGCACGAGCGGTGACCAGGGATACACGAGCGGATACGACACTGACCAGGGATGCACGAGCGGACACGACACCGAACAGGGATGCACGAGCGGCACGACGCCGACCAGGGATGCACGAGCGGCACGACGCCGACCAGGGATGCACGAGTGGACATGGCGCCGACTAGGGATGCACGAGCGGACATGGCACCGACCAAGGATGCGCGAGCGGACACGACACCGACCAAGGATGCACGAGCGGACACGACACCGACCAGGGATGCACGAGCGGACACGACGGCCGACCAGGGATGCACGAGCGGACACGACACCGACCAGGGATGCACGAGCGGACACGACACGGCGTCCGGCAACCGGGCCGCCGGACGCCACATGCAAAAAACAACTGGGCGGCGGCAACGGACCCGCGAACAGCTCATGCGGCACAGAGACGCAACGGAGCGGCACAGAGACCGACACAGAGCTCCGACCCAGCGACAGCTCATGCGACACAGAGATCCGACAGAGCGGCGGGGCGCGCCTCCTACCAGCATCCACTTCCCGGCCGCCTTGGGGGAAAGAGACGAGCGTTAGCCACTGGTGTCAGGCCAGGGGCGCATCGGGCCCGACGGCAGGAGGAGGGCGGGGCGGAGGGGGGACGCTGGGCGCGGGGCCGCCGCCGCGCCGGCCAGCCTTATCTGATGGGCCTTGAATAGCCGGGCCGAGGCAGTCAGCGGCGTTAAGATCGCGCAGCGGCCGCCGCTCCGGTCATTAGGGGCATATGGCAGTGCGGGCGGCGGCTGGCGCGGCGCGCTCAGCACCGCGCGCCGTCCCGATACCATCAGGCCGGCGCGCGCGCCTGTGTGGTCCGCGCCGCCCGCCCAGCCCAGCCGCCCGCCCTGTCGCCAAACGGCGCCACTGCTGGGCCGCACGGCTGGGGGCCGTGCTGGGCGCAGCTGAGCGGCGTGCGCTACGGGCGGCTAGCGGTGTGCCAGCGTGTCTGGGACTGGGTGCAGTGCTGGAGCCATCAGTGATGAACTGGTGTCTGAGGCTGGGTGCACCACTGGAGTCACCAGCGCTGAGATGGTGTCTGGGGCTGGGTACAGTACTGATATCATCAGTGCTGAGTTTTGGTCAGCGCTGGGTGTACCGAGACGGGAAAGGTACTGGGCGCTGACTTCAGCTGGCTTCTAAAGCCCTCCCCTTTCCAAACAGACCACGCCACGTGGCCAGCCCGGTTTACAAGGCCGGAATCCTAATCGGACACGACCGGCGCCATTACCACACGTTCAGCTCTCCCGATACACGCCAAAATCGTGGTGCTGAATTAATCAATGGATTTAGCTCCGTCAGATAGGGGTGAGCGAAGGCGCCGGTGTTCTCCCCCGTGTCTCCTCGTCTCCCGACTGTTTACGTCTCTAATGGATGCGACGCATTATGGTCAGATATGACAAATAAACCATGCGAGTGGTGGACAAATAAACAAAAGAGGAGCAAGTGTGACGGCTGAAAAAGACGCCTGGTGCGAGTCCACGCGCGACAAAAACTCGCCGCCGATCGAGGCCAGGCGGAGCAAGCCGCCGGCGAGGGCCGACCAGATGTGCGCCACTCCTCGTCACGGCTTGGCCGCATTTGTCTCGGCTTTATTTTGGCGTGGTGCGCCGCTGTCGCCGCGCGCGCGCCGAATTTGGCAGCGTCGCGGCGGATCCCCGTCGCACAGCAGATGTGAATGATAGAGTGAGAACGCCTGCCGCGGGACACTTAGGACCCGTTATTTCCACTTTTAATTGTCGTAAATCATTCAAAGAAAACAGAGAAGCGCATTTGGGCGGCCTCAGACCCTCGTAAATCTGTCGCTTCTTCCGCAGACCAAGACACGGTGTAGTGTTATGATCTTGTTTATATCATCGATGTCCTAGGTTGAAATCGTATACAAACGGTAAACCAATTATTTTGGCACATAATTAACAATAATACACCATCACAAACGGTTACGTATTTCAGACACTGCGCAGCATGGAACTCAATCGAGCCACGAAACAACGCCATTAAAGTCATCAAATAAAACTAATCGAATCACAGTGTTTCATCCAAGAAATAGCACTTCCTACAAGAGTCGTAAAGCTCCCTACTAATACCCTACAGTACGGAAATCATGAAGATGAAATATCATCATGTAATACTGCCAGACTGACAACTTCATTGCGAAATAAAGCACCCGGCCGGACGCCCGGCGGATACGAGAAATTACGTATATCCATAGTTTGTACAAATGCAACGAGTATTCTTCACAGTCGACGCGTGCGCTCGCCAGCGCATGGGGCCAGGCCGAGCGCCGCGACCGGCGCCGGCCCAACAGATCAACATAAACGTACTCCCAGTCCCTGAATGTACTGGCTAAGCCCAACAGGATTCGCCCTGCGCGCGCGCCTCTCCGTGACCGGAGGTCAAGGTCACATTGGCGGCGAGCCGACGCTCCGTCGTCCGTTACAGCCACGCAGAAGAGGGAAAACGGCAACGGCGTTGGCGGCGGCGGCAGCGACGACGACGGCGGCGGCGGCGGCGGCGGCGGCAGTGGCGGCGGCGGCGACGGCGCGGCGTCACCGCCCATGGCGCCGGCGCCGGTCGCGTCGCTCTGTTTACGGGCCAGCCGCTGCCTCTCGGCTCACGCCCGCCCGCGCGCGCGTCCGCTCGCCCCGGCGCCCCGGCGGCGCCCTACTGCATAAACGGAGGGGTGGTCGCCCCGCGCGCCGCGCCTGCCCCGCCCGCGCCCGCGCTCGCGCCCCCGCTCGGTTTGTCTGTCTGTGCGCCCGGCTCGGCCGACGCAGGCGCAGTGTAGAGGCGCCGACTTCCAGTCTATCCAGCGCTTGTTGTCTCCCCGTTGTAGACGCACGAGACGTGAATTCGATTACGTCCGCATCTGCAACAGCGGAGACAACCGCGCGTTAGATGGACAGCGCCACACACAGCTGCGCCACTCTACACTGCGCCATGCGTCTCTACACTGCGCCACTTGCGTCTGCCGAGCCAGGCTGCGCGCACGTCTTCTCGATTCTGCCGCACTGAGGCGGGCGCTCAATTCGAGCGCGACTGATAATCGAGGACTCTGCGCAAACCTGGAACAGCAGAACCGACGCACACCACAGGCAGACAGACAACGGCGGTGGGGCCACCCCAGCAGAGGCGCGACCGGCCCGGTTAGGCAGGCCAAAGTCTACGGCGCCACCCCTCCTCTGTATATGCAAGTGACCGACGCGGCGCGACGCGTGCAGTTGTCCCGGCCTCCGCTCGGGCCCACTTGGCGAAAGACGTCGCCGTTGGCCCGTCCTAGCCCCAGCTCGGGCCCCTCTAGCGGGAGACGCTGTCGTCGGCCCGTTCCGGCCCCAGCTCGGGCCCACCTAGCGGGAGACGCCGCCGCCGGCCGTCCCGGCCCGGGCGGTCCGAAGCCCGCGTGGGCTCCAGACCTCCCCGAGTCCCGCGCCCGGAGTGGCCAGCGGTCCAGGGGCGAGCCCAGCGTCGACCGAGGTCGGGCCGCACTAGTACGACTGGAGTCGCTCAGCGGGCGGGACACACTGATAGCTAAGGGTGATCGGGTGCAATGCCCTCTGAAACTGGTGTAGCTCGGCCAGGGCGTCGCTCAGCGCCACCCGCCAGCCACCAGCCGCGTCGTCAGTCAACCACGGAGGTCTCAGCGAGTCCCTGCGGCCCCCAGCTGGTCCCGTGCTGCGGGCCGAGCGCGCCGCTGCCCCCGCCCCACCTGTCCCGACGCCCGCCCCACCTCGGCCGCCAGCGCCGGTCGCGCTGGCGGGCGGCGGCGCCCCGCTGGGCGTTTCGGACGTGGGAGCGGCGCCGGGCGCGGCGGGGCGTCGCGGGTCGCGCCGCCGGCACGCCGATCGCATCGCCGGTGACCTCGGGCGCCGCGGGGCGCGTCCGGCGGCATCACAGGCGCCGCGCCGGCCACCCCGTCACGGCCCGCCCCTATCGCGCCGCATCGCCGTGTAGTTTCAGGTAAACCGGTCGCGTTTGAAGGGCATGACTCTTTTCCCTGTCGCGCCGCGCAAAAAAGCCGCTAACCTTGCTAATTGCAACTCGGTGAGGAATTGACAGCTGCGACAAAAGACGCCGAGTGTGCGCGGCCGCGCGGCCGATGCTCGCAGGCGATAGCGGTAGCGGCGTGGCGGCGGCCGGGGACGCACCAGCGCACCAACGCACAAGGTTGGTGCAGCGTCGGGCCGGACGTCGGGCCGATGATGTCGGCGGACCAGACCGGCCGGTCGGCCTGCGCCCACAGTACCGGCCACCGCACCCGGTGCGGCCCGGCCGGCCCGGCGGCCGTCCGTGAGCGCGTGACGCTCCAGTGACGCCGGGGAGCGGCCGGCCGAGCGCGCGGCGCGCGCCGGGCAGCGGCCGTGCGGCCGGCGCCGTGGCGGAGATGGCCCGATAGGCGACGGCGGCCGGCCGGCCACACCGGCCGCCTCCTTGTCAGTGGGGTCACGTTGTATTTTATCAGGCCGGGGCGGACGCGGCCGAGGCACGGGAATAATTCCCAAATAAACGATCCGGACCGAGATAGCTCGGAAATTCGAACGCTCAGATGGTCGAAATCATAATAAACCTGTGGCGACCGATCGACCTTCGGCGCCAGATTTATGGATAGGCCGAGCGGTCGGGTCAAACCCATTCTTTGGCCTGGGAGCGGGCGCGACGCAGCGCGATGCGGCGCGACGTCCGCCGGCCGGACCCGTAAACACGCGGCGCGCGCCCGCCAGACGCGAGGCCTCCGAGCCACGAGGCGTCGCCCAGCGCATGGCAAAAACGGCCGGTCCGGCGCCCGCTAATGGCGCCGCTTTATCCCCGAGTCGCTGCGCCGGCCGGCAGCCCTAATCCAGCGCGTCCGAAGCGGCGATAAGTCGGGCGACCGTCGATATTGTGCCTGGACGGCGGAGACAAATTCCTATCGGCGTGTTTACAGTGGGACCGAGTTAGTCAAAGTTCAGGCCGGCTACCCGCGCGATGATTTATCCTGGCCGTCATAAACATGTCAAGCGAGCTAGTGCAAACACAAACGGCCGGCGAGCCGCTCTAGTACCCTGGAGTGGGACTGGTGCGGGCAGGCCCCCGTCTCGTCGCCGCCGCGCGCTGACAGCCCGCCAGGCCGGCGCGGCGGGGCCGGCGGCGGCCGCGGCCGGCGCCCGCCGTCTCCTCCCGAAGGTGGCCCGACCAACGCTATCAGGCCCCGGATCCACCGGAGGCGGAGATGGCGGAGACAAACATCCCAAATGGTATGGTGGGTTGCCGGCCGGACGCCAGGGAGCTGGGAGGATGTCCGACAGAAGGCTGCGTTCCCGCGCATGCTGATGTACGGTCAAAATATATTTTGACAGCGTGGCAGCGTCTGTTTTTTATTTGCAATACAAATGATCATTACGTTCAAGGTCTTAAGATGACATTAAGGTCAACGGCGTTGCGGACTACATCTGTAACCGCTCCCAAAGGAGGCGCACAAATTAATATCAAGCCAAATTATAAACTGAGTCCGCGGACGAGCCAGACGGCCGCATGCAGCCGCCGCCGGCGCACTTCAAGCCGGCAAACAGCCTCCCACGCCCGGTCCCGCGCCAGGACCCCCGTCCCGCTGGCTCAGGGTCCCGCTCGCCCCGAGAAGGGGAGAAAAGCGTGGAGACAGAGAGCCCGACAGAGAAGAGAGAAAGAAAGAAAGAGAGAGAGAGAGAGGGGGGGGGGGGAGAATGAGAGAGCGAGAGAGAGCGCGGTACTCACGATGTCTGGCGTGCTGGTGCCATCCTGGCTGGCCTCGGCCGACGCGCGCGAGTTGCCACTGTTGTTGTTAGTGTCGCCGTGGCCGTGGTCACTCGTCTTGGCCGCACCACTGTCCCGCTCGTCGATCACTAAGTCTATCGGCATTTTGCCCTTCAAACAGCTGATGTAGCGGTGGCAGAAGTTGTCGCACAACTCGTGAACCTGCAACGGAGGAAGGTCGTCAGGTGAGGGCAGCGCGGGCGGCGACGGCGGTACGCGGCGCGACCGTGGGCAGCCGCGGAGGCAGATAGGCGGCACCGCCTGGACGCAGCGCCTCTAAAACAGCTACTGCCGGTTCCACGATGTGGTATCAGTGAACAGACCCGTGACTTATGACGGGGTGGCTGATCTCGTATCAGTACAGGTCGGCTCAGGCTCGCGGTGGATGTTTCAATAAATTGCACAAGCTTGCTTTGGAAATTTCCAAGCCCGATGTGAACATGTGCAGGCTAACGGACAGAACGAGAGCCAGCAGATGCCGTCCTACACCAGGTGATGCGGTGGATGACGGAATCAAGATCGTAACTAGGTACGTTTAACTGACACTCTGAGCATAACTAACTAGGGCGCGCACGAACTGTCAACTGATGTGCGTTTGCTTTGAGTCCGCATCCACACATCCGTTGGGGGAACGGCAGATGCCTGGAACACGCAGTGGTAGTTGAACTGCCGCAGTAAAAGCTTTAGAACTCTTTGTTTGCTCTTGAAACATTTTAGCCGGGTGGCCGAGGGCTTATCCCCCTCCCCCTGCCCCCTCCGAGGGACACGTGTTGAGAAATTCGGTACAACCCTAACAACGGATTTGGGGGACGGTTACGGCTCAGATGCATAAGCTTCTTAAAAGCCATCCTGGATAAAATCGGAGCTTTTTGTTACAAAGAATGTTAAATATCGTTTCACGGAGTACGTATTACTAGCAACCTGCGGTCGGTGACAATACACTTTTACCGTGACCGGCATGCTAAACCAGTGACATTCTTTCTGGGTCTGCACGTATTAGGACGAAACATCGCCCCCGGCATGACCATTCACGGCGGGGCGGGCCGGGGGGATGGCGGCTGCTTTCCTAGCAACGGCTGCCGCTGCTGCCGGCTGGCTGGCGCCAAGCCCAATTGGGTCGTGTCACCGCCCCCCCCCCCCCGATCTACACCCATCCCTCTCCCCCCCCCAACACACCATCCAGCAGGGGGCCCAGCCCACTGTTTTTCCGCCAAACTCCGAAAACGAGCCGTCTATGTGCAATAACACCCACTAATGTTGTTATGACTGAGCATAAACATTGGCAGTGGTCTTGCAACAAACACTGAAAGGAAAAGAAACAGGGGAAAGATCAATTAATGAGTTTTTACCGCGGTGCTCAGTCAGCCATTGTTTTCCACTTAATGAGCGGCGTCCGCACCATGCACGTAACAATCATGCCCGGGACAGTGCCGGGTCCGAGCGTCACGGACTGGGAACTAGGCGCCATCGAACGCGGACCGGTGTCGAAGGCAGCCCGGTCCACGCTCACGCTGAAGGCCCGTCGTGCCCGGCGGGGCGGCGCAGGCGGGGCGGGGTCGGCGCCTGCCCCCAGCCCAAGCCGGACACGGCGGTAAGCTGCGCCATACAGAACGAGAGTCGAACACAGCCGGCCGTCGTCCACAAGCTGCGCCTCCGACCGCAGCAGGACTTGCTTCCCCTGCCCTCGCGTCCCTGCGCGGCCACGTGCCGGCGCAAGGACGCCCGACCCCGGGCGCCGCTGCCCGACAGCGGATGGAGAGGGGCGACCTCTGCCCCGTTGGCCAACGGAAGGCTCGGGCGCTTCGCCTGGTCGCTGGCTCCGACCGGCCTCCGGAGGAGCGCCGGTCCCCGCGCAGTGCGCCAGCCGAGGCGTCAGGTGGCGCAGCTGGCGCAGCTGCCGCCGGCGCCAGCCCGCTGCAGTTTGTCGGCTGATGGGACACATTCTTGCGGCGCCACAAAAACGGCCACCACTCGCCGGCCGACCCGCCAGTGGAAATATCACCGGAATCCGTGTGGGAGGACGCGGAATGAAACAACAAAACGCCGACCTTCGGCGCCGGCGAGAACTGGCCGCCGCAACGACGCTGTCATTCAAATCGCCGTTTTAATGTTTAAGAAATCGCGGCGCCCGCTGCGCCGGCCGATAAATACCATCAGGATTGCGTGACTCAATCCCAGTCGCGTCCGGCGCTGGTCGGAGAGAGCGCGGAGAGGGCAGAGTGGCGGGGGAGCTGGAGATATGTCGGATTCCGCGGAGAGCAGCCGAGGAAAGAGGGCAAGAGAGCCAGAAGGAAGAGAGAAGGGAGGCGGAACGGAGAGAGGGTAGGAGAGAGGTAATTTTACAGGTGATGCAACTCACGTCCAGAAGGATAAAAAACAAGGCACATCCGATGCACAGCAGGGGCGCATCGTTGGAGAACAAATCCACGGGAACTGAATGGGAGCTGAGCAGAGCGATCAGGGAGAGAATGGGCAGAGCGGGTGGAGGAACGAGGGGGCAGAGCGGGCAGAGTGGTCGAAGGACCAGGGGAGAGGGGACAGAGCGGGCGGAGGGCCAGGGGGAGAGCGGGCAGAGCGGGCGGAAAACTAGGGGGGAGCGGACAGAGCAAGCGAAGGACCGGGGGAGAGCGGGCGGAGCGGGCGGAGGACCAGGGGAGAGCGGGCAGAGTGGGCGGAGGACGAGGCGCCCTGAGCCGAACATGGGAGTCGGAACGGGCGCGCATTACATTCCCGATCCTGTCTACAACAAGGCTGGTCAGCGGTGCAGGATTGCACGAGTGGCAACCTCCGAGCGTTACGACCCCATAAAATTGAATAACGCTCGGTCCAGCCGACGGCCGTGCGGGTCCGCGCCGACAGCTCTGCCTCCAGCTGCTGCAGTCCAGGATGGCTGAGATCGGTCACAAAGGCTCGCGCAGGGCCCAGAGCGTGTCCCTCCGACCGACAGGCCGCCGTCCAAGACCGGAGACTGTCCCTGGTGCCTCTCTCCCCGCGAGAGTGGGTATGGAGCAGGTCGTGTCCCGCGTTGCCCCGCGCGGAGTCAGGGTCGGCGGAGGGGCCTGACCGATGGCCACCTGCCCCGCTCGTGCGACCCACAACAAGGACTGCGACCCCACCGCCCTCCCCGCTCATACAGCCGGTCGGCCGCCAGCACTGCAGCAATCCCGCGCCGCGCCATAAATTTCCCAAATCGCAGCGGCAACAATTAATGAATTCTTCAGGCCGGCCGAGCTCATCGCGACGCGCCATTACCTCCGGTTGTGGCACGCAACACGTAAGCGGACACGGCACATCTCGGCGGCCGGCCGTGGCGCCTCACTCGCGCGCTCCGGTCTGCACGTGCTGTCGGCGCGGGCCGCGGTCCCCGGCGCCCGCCCCCGACCGCCGCCCCTGACCACGTCCCGCCCCCGGGCCACGGTCCCCCGCGCAGCCCCACGCTTCCCATCCTGTAAACGATGCAATGCCAAGCGCGACCATTCTCAAGGCCAGCCGGCCCGGTGCTAGCACGGGCAATAAAACGGTCGGCGCCACACGAGCTCCCCCTCTGCACCAGCCCCCCCCCCTCGCGGTCCATCCTCAGGCCCGCCGCGCTCCGCCGCGCAGTGTCGCGGCGCGCGGGCCAATATGGCGCGCCGACGCCCGCCCTGCGTCAATATTGAGAATGGTCCGCATTCCGCTATCTTTATTGCATTGTTTCCCTGTAATTTTTGCCGCATTCTCTATCCATTTTGTGCGCGACCGTCGGCCCCCGGGGGCCGTTATTGGTGGCCGCTGACAGACGACGCGGCGAGAGCAGCGCCGTCTCGCCGCGCCGCGCCGCTCTCGCCGCCCGCCGCCGGCTCGAAAGCGGCGCACGTGCCGGCCGGCGGCGCACCGTCAGCTGGCCTCCCCGCCGACGCCGGCGGCCAATTGCGCCTCTGACCCCCGCAACTAAGTCACCTGCAGGTGACAGCCGCTGGAATCGAACCTCCCGCCGCAGAGTGGTCACGTGCAGCTCCGAGGGGAGGCGGAGGGGGGGGGGGGGCGGCGGCCATGCTGGTGACGTGGGCCGTGTCACTTGCAGCGCCGCCGGCCGAGGGGGCGCCGGGGAGGGGGAGGGGGAGGGGAAGGCGCGGCTGTCATCGGCTGCGACGGCCGGCGCGCGGCGCCAGACCGACTCACGCGGCGCGCCCGGCGCGGTTGTCGACGCCGGCGGCGCGGCGGCGACATTCCCGGCGCGCGCCGGCCCGCGCCTCTCGACGGACAATGGGTGTCGGCCGGCGGGGCGTCACCCGGCCGCCGGCCGCCGGCTACGGCCTCTCCATTACGACCATATGGTGCATGCCCCGTTGATAGGCGCGGACGCCGGCCGCGCGCCGGCCCGCGCGCGCCGCGGGCGCCGACATGTCGGAGCGGCGCGTCGACATGTCGGCGCCGGCCGCGTCGACAGGTGGGCCGTGGGAGAGCGCCGGTTCGCGGCCGGGCCCGACGCAAACAGGCCGTCGGCCGCCGGCAAACAGAGCGTATTTATCGAAGTCAGGCCTGTTTGGGGAGGATGGCCCCGTCGGCCGGCGGCGCAAACACGCTGATCTGATGGCAATGATGATTGTCGGAATGGGTGCACACAATGTCCGGCCGTCGGAGAAGTGGCTACCGCCGCGCGGAATCCGCCGCGTCACCGGCGGCCAGCGTCCGTCCGGCACACACACACAGACGCGCGGCCCGTGCATGCATGCCAGGTGTGCGCGTCACACTGGCGGCTGCGGGAGAGCGCGGCGTGCAGCGGCGGCCGCGGGTAACGGGCAGAGGGCGGAGGAGCCGGCGGCCGGGCCTCGCGCGACGCTGGGCCATGGCGAGAGGGTGGGAGGGAGACTGAGCCGCAGGTGAGGGGCGGAGGGAGACGCGCGCGGCCAGAGGCAGAGAGCGGGGGGAAGGAGAGAGTGAGGGAGAGGGAGCGAGCGCGCAGAGTGTGGCAGCGGTCCGCTGCGGAATGTCTGTGCGGCGAGCTGATGCGCCGGCCATATGGCCGGTCGGCGGCGGCGGTTGTCTGTTTTGGCCCTTCGCGCCGGCCGCCGCACCCCTGAGCCGAAACCACACGTGCAGCGGGCGGCGAGCGCCTGCAGCGGCGGCGGCGGCGGCGGCCATCTGGGGCCGCTGCCCTCCATCGGCACTCCAGTCCCGCCGCCGGCCGCGGCTCGACGCCAGGTGGGCCACCGGGTCTGGTCGGGCCGGCCCTAGTCCGGCCCGAGTAGGCCCCGAGTCCGGCCCCGAGTCCGGCCTCAGTCCCGCCCAAGTCCCGCCCCAGGACTGGCCATAGCCCAGCCCGAGTCCCGTCCAGGTCTGGCCCGAGTCCGGCCCAGTCATGATCACGTCAAGTGACGTGGTCCAGCCGGGTGGGCTCCAACCAGCGCCGGAAGTGAGCACTGCAGGTGCTGGGCTGCTCCAGCCGGCCTGCCGCCGCCGGCAGCCGGTCCCATCGACCCGCCCACCTCACTCGTGCAGCCAGCTGACTGACCCGGGGCTGTGAAGAGCCGGACCGACCAGGCACGCTGCCCAACTCTATTCTCCAGCTCGTCCCCTCGGCTTGGCACCCCCAGCTGGTCTCCCAGCCGGGTCCTCCCGCTCAGCTTATTGCACCAGACCTCGAGTTCGGCACCCGCTGCGGCCCGGCGCTCCCAGGTCACCTTAGACCTGCCGGCTCACCGGTCCCGGACCCGACAGCAGCCACCAGCGGCCAAAGTCGTAGCCGCCGCCGCCGCTTATTGGCGGCCGCCAAATTGACGCGACGGCGACAATCATGGACGGCGCGGCCGTGCCCGCCGGCGATGTCCCCCGGAGGCGTGCGTGCACTCCGGCCACGCCAGACTGGCCGCCGCCGCCGCCGCCGCCGCGGCCGCCGCCGGCGGCGCTGCCAGCCTTTGCATGGACGGGCGTCACAAAGCCGCGCTTGATGTATTTTCCTGGAAACGGGCGCCGAATGCAGTGGAATCGTGAAGGTGGAGCGGCCATCGAGCGGCGGAATGGGCTATGTCGGCGGCGGGCCGGCCGGCCGGCGCGTGACTCATCGCAACAGACCGGGCCGGGCCGGCAGCGGCGGACAGGGACAGCGGCAGGGGCCGGCGGCGGCGGGCAGGGACAGCGGCAGGGACAGGGGCCGGCAGCGGCGGACAGGGACAGCGGCAGGGGCCGGCGGCGGCGGGCAGGGACAGTGGCAGGGGCCGGCGGCGGCGGGCAGGGTCAGCGGCAGGGGCCGGCGGCGGCGGACAGGGACAGTGGCAGGGGCCGGCGGCGGACAGGGACAGTGGCAGGGGCCGGCGGCGGCAGGCAGGGGACAGAGGCAGAGGCCGGCCGCGGCGGACAGGGACAGTGGCAGGGGCCGGCGGCGGCGGACAGGGACAGGGACAGTAGCGAGGTAGGGACAGAAGCGAGGATAAGGTCAGGGTGCGGCGGGAGGGGGAGAGGGGATGGCAGCAGCGAGCCAAGAACATGGACATAAGGGCCAAAGGCCGCAAGCTGTTACAGCCCTTTCCCTCAAGAGACAGGCGCCGAGCCGGGCCAGTACGGACGGACAGCAGTGAGACATGGACCGGAACGGACCGGAGGTACACCACGGGCTGACGCCGACAGCAGCCAAGCTGAGGACGGAGCTACCAGAGTCCGCGCCGACGGCAGCGCTGACAGGCGTCAAGCCATGCAGCTGGCCGCCCGTCTGGCGGGGCGGCCAGGCCAGCACAGCCCAGCACGGCCGACGGGGCGCGGCCGCACACGCCTTAGGTTGGCGGCGGGAGCGAGTCCTCGACTCTGTCTGGCTGGAACCGCCCTCGGCCGGCCACTCGTCGCGCCGGACACGTGTGAAGCCGGCGACACGACAGTGGCGGCGCGGCGCCCTGTGTCAACAGCGCTCCCGGCACCCTCCCCGCCACCGGACGTGTTTATACCTCCCTTGCAACTGGGGAATAATAGGGGTGCATGGGGGGGAATTTATTCCCGCTGCCCGGGATCAGAGGGAGATAAGGCTAATGAATAAAAATGAGAGCCCCGGGTGTAGATTAGGCATTAGTGCGTTCGGTGGTGCGGCTGGTGCCAGACGCAGTGGAGGAAAAACTCATTTTGTTCGGCCTTATCCGCAGAAGGTGCGTGTAATCAATCAAGACCGAATGAAGATAGCGAGCGGGGGGAGACACACGGGACCGTTCTGGCGCCGCCGCGGCGCCGGGCGGGCCCACACGACGGACACGACGCGGGATGCCTCACCTTTTCTAATTCGAGCAGATGAAACCGCAACACTTGAATCGCTTGCACCATCTGCGGGCGGAGAGTGGGCGTCATTAGCGTCCGCGGGGACGCCCGCAGGAAGGCTCCGCTGCCAGGCTCGTCTCCCCTATATGCGGCGGCCGCCTGTCGTCTTGACCGGGCAGAGAGGCCGTAAATCAATCGCTCCGGGACAGGCACAGATCGTACATGACATCGGCTCAAACAACGGGCTAAACGATTCAAATTGCATGCAATTGACGAGGGCATGGCCGTGGTGGTTTGCGGCATGTGGGCGTGAGCCGGCCTCGCACACCGCGCTCACGAAGTCCAGCTCTGACCCCGCCACGCAGCGCGTCTTCCTTGCAGCGGCCGGCTAACATGCCAGCTGTCACGTGCTCTTCGCTGAGCAGTCGTAACTGCGGTAACAGTGACGACACAACGACGCTCACGGCGGCATTCCTGCGTTTTCTTAATGAAAATACCAGGTAACCGCACGTGACACGGATAAACCAGAGACTCCAGGTATGCGACAATCTGTCCAAAAATGACGGAGCGCTCTTTTTCTGCCTCGCTTGAACAAGTTCGGGACGGGTCTATCGGCCTAATATTATGCAGGATCAGGGGCTGGCCATAGTACTCATAAAAGCGACCGAAAATGGAAGACACAGATTCAGCGGGATTCCGGCGATGATCTTTTCGAAACAAAACAAATGTAATCAGACGCCCTAGAAAGTGCTAGCTAAAAAGGTGCTATTACACGGACATCTGGCTTAACGCGTCGCCAAGTTCCCCAAAATTCCTTATTGGCATCTGGGCAGGAAGCGAAACTTTGAATTCCAATGACTCAAAGGTAACAGGTCTCCGAAACGCCACGACCGAGTCGTGTGACGATTCCCGCCGCGCTCCGCCAGCGGGGTGTCGGCTTACAGTCCTGCCCGTGGTCGTGACCGCAGTGTGGGGAGGCTGGAGATGACTCAGCTGTGGCGGCTCAGGAGCCGGCAGCGGACGGCAGCGCTGCTGGAGCAGCACGCCCCGCCGCCGGGTGCCGGAGCAGACCGTGCGGCCTCCCCAACCGAGGGTCACCCTCGCCGTCCCCACCCCGCGCCACCGCCGCGGCCGGTGGCCCGGGCGCGCGCGCCGCCACACCGGTCCCGCCGCGTATTTTTCTGCTCGACAATCCGGCCGATCTGGCAGGGCACAAGCCGGCTGTCAGTGGGCGCCGGGGCCGATTTGGCCGCCCAAAATACACCTGTCGGCCGGCGTTAGCGCGCGCCGCCGCCCGGCCTCGTACCCTCCTGGCCCCTCAAGCGCCACGCGGGCCCAACTCAAAACGTGGCGCCGCCAAAATTAGACGGACGGGTCGCGGTGCCGGGCGCGCGCGTTTCCAGAACGCCTGGCGCCAGCGGCGGCCGGAAGCTCGGACGGCCGGCGCGGGTACTTACTAGACTATCTAACTCCGGGTTTGGACTGTAGTATGGCTTTTCTGCTCGAATCTGAAACAGACACGCCAGTGGTCAGAGTCGTCAGGCGCCGCGCCCGCCTCGCCGCCCAATGGCTTGGAATCAAACACGACAGGCACACACAGACACCATTCGTGTGACTTTCCTGGCGCACACAACAACACCCAAATATTTACACCAAACACGCCCATGGCAGCAGATTTTGTCGCCTGCCCGACTGCGGCAACAATCGCAGCCGCAAAAACACGACAGAGTTGACCAAACACGCTCGCTATTCGAAATAATTCCGACCCTATGCAAATAGGGCCGGTCGCTCGCCAGTCGTTGATTAACCAGTCAGTGCGCCCGCTGTGCCCCGGCTAATAACAGCGTGTCAACAAACAGCGCCGGTCGTCGGACAAACGGGCCACTCGACGTGAACGTCCTGCGACGATTACAGCACCCTTCCTGGCGCCGCCGCCGCCGCTGTTGACACACGCATTGTGGCCGAGGCGGCGGCGGCGGCGGCTGGGGCAATCACAGCGCAGACGACAGGGTGCGGGGATCGGGCACGAGGAACAGCGGTGCCAATGGGTCCCCCCACGCGGGAACAGCGGCGCTGACGGCTCCGGACACGCGAGGACAGCGGCCGCAAACGGATCCTGACACGTGGGACAGCAGCACCATTGGATCCGCATTGACCAGACAGCTGTGATGACCAAGCGGGCCCAAAAGATCACCCGGCGGCCCGCTTATAAATCCTGTACACTTGCGTCGGTGCATTCAGTCCAAGTATAGCACATTCGAAATTCAGCAGGTATGATCTTACGCAGCTGATGCCATGGAAATGTCCAGTTTACCAAAGCAAAAAGAAAAGTGGTTCGTGCATGGGCTTCAGTCGCGTTAAAGGCTGTAATGTGCTGGTTTTTTAACAACCCAAACTTGGACATGTTAATTGCGATACAACAAAAATTGGCACAGCGCTGTATTTTCGAATGTATGCTAAAAACATTTAAAACAGCCTGCATAAGGAACATGTGACCCTTAAAACCACTGCAAAAATGTCACACCAACTAGAACACTGGGATCCATTAGTGTAGGCCGAGGCGTAGGAAGGATTTCGAAACGGCGGAGCAACTCGATCTTTTTCACTAACGAAAAAAATATAAACGCGGCGTACACGGACGATACTTGTTGCATGACATATAGTTCCATCACATAATTTCAATTTGCTTTTTTGGCGCGCGTAACTTAATTTACTTTAAGTGGCAACATTTGGCCATTTGTCTATTGGCGATGATTGGGTTCAAGGGCTTGTCACTTGCACATTAATACCTATGTATATTTGGTAGGGGGAACGTGCCCCAGTGCTACCCTCCCCATCTGAATAAGCTCCTATGTGCAGACGTAAGTTTGCACACACAGAAGTCGCTGCAGCATTGGTCAGTGGCGAATTTACGCCATGAGCGCCAAGCTGTGGTGCGGCCGGTGAGGTCGGCACAGCACAACACCGGCCATGGTCCGCGTCCAATCACTCCCATAAACGTCCCATAAAGAGGGCGCGTGTGTCGGCGCCGCTCCGCCGGCGGGGGGCGGCGCCGCGTCGCCGTCGACGCGACGCCGCGTCGGCCGTCGACGCTCACCGCCGCGCCCGATCACGCCCAGATATGAATATGAAAGGAGCAGCGGGTGCAGCGCACGTGTTTTAAACATGGGCGCCGCCCGCCGGCGCGGCGCGGCCGGCGCGGACGGGCCCCCCAAACGGGTCGGTTTTTCTCGTTATGTTTTAACGATTTCCCAGCCGTATCACATGTCGCGGCGCGGCGCGGCGGAGGAGGAGCGCGCGGCCGGCGGCCCCGCGCGCGGCCCAGAACAGGAATCCATCTTGTGTCGCGCTTGTCTCGCGTCAATCTGGAGCGGCAAAGGTTAACAAATTACGCCGGGCACTGAGCTGTCAGGAATGCCCGTCCCATGGGCGGCTGCGGCGGGACCAATGTCCCCCGCCGACGAGCCCCTCTCGCCGGCCAATGAGCGCCAAGCCCCTGGCACGCCCGGGGCTGAAGGAGGCACTGTGATCGGCTGCCTCCGGAAATGTTTTACAACCGAAGCCCCTGGAGACAGTACCGTCGCTGTCCTTATCGGCTGGTTATTGATACAGACAGTTAACGTTAGCGTGCACTTCCCACTGAGGGGGAGAAAAGCGCAGAGAGAAGTAGGTTAAAGACGCACTCCGCTTTTTCTAGAGCCTCCATGACCGGCCAAGCGCACGAGCAGATTCGCCGAGCTACGGTATGCCCGGAATTCTTCTCTACCAATATGCACCGTTTTACACCCGGTAGTGGCCATAAATCAGCCAAAGTACAGCCTTCTTATCCTTCTCACAATTTCTGGCATCCCGCTCTCAGGGAGGATGAGCAAAAACGCGCGCGGTGTAATATCCACCCTTTTTGTGGGCTGGTCCCCAGTGTATCCAATGCCTCGTTTGGGGTAATCGCACTCCCTGGAGAGAGATCGCATTCCATTTGGCATAACAAAAGAAAACAGAGCAGTGTCACCCGGACGGGTTCGCCCCTCGCCGCGCCGAGAGCGTGCGTTTCGCACCCCTCCCCTCCCCTCGGCCGGGGGACGCGAAGGCCGGATAGCGACGGCACGGCGAAATCGCACACAAAGCGACTGCGCTCTAATGGATGAAACAGAATTGTTCCAAGCCAGCGATTTTACACATTTGCAAATTCTATTGGTCGTCGAGCGGCGGGATGATACGCATTGTCTGTGTGCAATCAGTATGAAGTGGAATGAATTCGAGTCAAAATAGAACCGCGGCGTGTCGGTGGGAGTGGCGGCACCGCGTCCGGCCGGGGCCGCGGCGGCGACCCGCGTCCAGCTCGTTGTGAGACGGTCCACCCGCGGGTGCATCAGCCGGCACCCGGGGTCAGCGGCTCGGGAGCTCAGCTACGTGACCGGTGACATCCGCGGCTGTATCCGATGTGCGCCGCGCGTGTCCGGTGGTTGTGTCCGCCGCTTGTCCGCAGTGCGTCCTCGCCGTGTGTCCGCGGTTTGTCCGCAGTGTCCGGTGTCTGTGTCCGCCGCTTGTCCGCAGTGTGTCCTCGCCGTGTGTCCGCGGTTTGCCCGCCATGTCCGCCTTGCGAGGACAGCTATCCGGCCACCGCCGGCGGCTCGTGCCGCTCCGCCCGTCCCGTAACGGACGGCGGGCGCCCAACTGGCGCGCGCGTGGGCAGCCCGCTTTAGTATTTAAAGGGTCTGGTAACCGGTCATCACGGACACGCACCCTGCCGCCCTTTTGCCGCCGATCTTGCGCGGCACACGCACACGCCGCGCGTGCAAACGAGAACTGGACAGCTGCTGGTGAATGGAGCTGCCTGCCGTGCTGGGCCAGGGCTCCGTTCAGTCACAGGCAAATGCTGTAAAAATATTAGTTAAGTGGAAACTCGCCATTTAATGCGGTTTGTGTGTAATAATTTTAGGATGTGCTTTGGTGTCATTAGGCAATGACAGAGAAAAAAATTGCCAAGGTGCATGACATTTCAGAGAACAGTATTGCATAAAAGTCTACATCACACTTGCATTGCGAACTACGACACGAACTTTGAGCCAGCATGCATCACACAACAATCCATACAGGTGTTTTTTTAGGAAACGCTTGCAACTTTTGTCTTCCCTATGAGTTGTTTGGGTCCCTTTCCCTTTCGGACAAACAGTTATGCGTCCTGGAGAGCACATGAAACTGCATGCAACGTAACAACCGCGCCGACAAACCGATCCCCGACGATAACGCGTGCCACTGCATCAAACACCGAATTCATCCACAGAAACGGCCCAGTACCGCGCCGCCATCCAGTGAACCAAGGCCAGCACATCAGCCACAACAGAACACCACATTCAGAAACATCTCTTCAGAATCCACCACAACTTCGGCAGAACTGCCCGTAAGTGCGGCACGACAGTAACAAACGGCTGCCCGCCCCATGGCCATTCAACAGCCGGCCGGGGCGGCCGCAGCGGCGCAGTTGGGCCATCCACGGGGCAAGTGGCCGCGAGGGACGCGCCGCGGCGCCGCCAGCATCTGCGCCGATTTGCATACACGGCACATGTCGAACACGGACGTCACATTATTTGTACGGGGAGTTGGCGCCGGCGCTGCGGCCGCCCCCCACAACTGGCAACTACGGCACCGGCGGCAGCATGACGAACGGCCGGCCGGCGTGATTTAGCACCAGCCTGAACGTGACGCCCCGCATATCTCACGGCGCTCACACGTGCGGACAAGCGAGCCGCTCCTCCCGGGGCTGAGCGGGAGGCGGCCGCAGCTCAACACACGCACGCACACGCACCAGGCAGCGCACGGCACAGGGGTGCCCGACGGTACACTGATGCACGGCACCGCCCGTTGCAGACACGACACCGCACACGGCTCGGCAGAAGCCACGCCGACCGCCAGCGCCTGTCAGACGCTTAACATAAATTAAGCATTAGTGGCGCGGCCGTCCCCTCGAACGCGGGGCTACACCAGGCGAGGGGGGCCTCGGGTGGGGCCGTCGCGGCGCCGCTCCGGGTCCGGCCGGGCGCCGCGGCCCGGGCCCGGCTATTGCGGGCGCGGCCGGCCGGCGCCGGGCCGCGTTCCCCGTGAGAGCGCGCGCGAGCTGCGCGACTGTGAGAGCGGGCCGGCGTTCGCGGCCGCTTGCCGGTCGGCTCGCGTTTCCCTCATTATTACTGTTTACTACGCACTGGCCGCGGCGCGGCAAACAGGGCGCGGGCGCGGCCGACGCGGCGCGGCGCGGCGGCTATCGGCCGGCGCATCTGCCCTCCCCGCGCGCCAGCCTGCTTTTCATCTTTTCAGCGCGGTGCCGGGACCTTCTGGCCGAGGCCGCGGGACGGGGGACGGCGCAGAAATTCGGGCACAAAGGGCCGGCCCGGCGGCGGCGCCGGCCGCCACAATAGCGCCACAATGGGGCCAAGTGAGCAGCGGCGCGGGCCGCCGGTCGCCGGCCGGCCGCTCGGCAGCCTGCCTACCTGCTTGCTGAAGACGCCGATGTCTTCGTTGAAGGACTCGGAGCTGCAGACGTCGCCGCCGGCCACGCCCGGGTCCCGCGGCGTGCATGTGGCCAGCTCGCACTTCTCGAAGATGAGCGCCAGCAGAGGGAACAGCGGGTGCCTGCAGCATAGTGCCCGGGTCAGACACGGCAAACACGGCTCGGCCGGTGCCGACCTGTCACGCGCGACAGGCAGGCTGGCGCGCCGCACGAGCTGGGCGCAACGTACCTCACGCCGGTATTACTGCGCCGCCGCCCGTTTTCCATGCCATCAGCATTTTATTACGATGGCTTGCTTGCTTGGACGTGCTCCCATGTCAGCTAGCAACGTGTAATATCTCAATTTTTGAGCTGGAGTGATTACGGCGCGTGTGTTCCATCAATCACAGAATATCTGCACCTTGACGGGCGGACGATCGGCCCGTCCTAAATACACAGCCCAAACAGCTGGAAAACCGACGGTGTGTGAAACTCGGGAAACACAATCTGCCAGTCAGGTCGGCCAGAAATACGGCGTCTGGGAGCCCGAGCAATTCACCGCGCGGCATTCCTCTCCTGGCGCGGGACCATTGTCAATCTCGGTGCGCTGAAGTGGCCGGCGCGCACGCTGCGTGATGCCATACGTAATTAAATGACTTTGGAGTGGCTGTTATCATAATTTGAGGACACAGTGTGGGTCCGATAATTACAGCGGGTGCGTGCTTTATCTGACATACCTGACGGTCGCGCAGGGCGCATGTCACCGCCGTCCAAACAGCGGCGCGCCGCCGCGGGGCGCCCGTACCTAGCCCGGGTGGCCCGGCTGGTTAGTCAAAGCCGTTGTGACGGCCACCACGGGCCGCGAGGGGTCGCGAGGGACCGCGAGGGCTGGACGCGAGGGGCGCGTGAAAATCCGCCAAAAATGCGGCCCCAGCAGAAGGAGGGGCTGAA